GGATTATGTCAGAAACGAGGGGTCAAGGGATCTCTGGCACACGGAGTTGTCAAGTGGCAGGATGGGAGTGGGATTAATCAAGATGCCATGGGATGAACTTGGCTTGTCCTGCATGAGAGGCAGCTACAATTCATTGAGGGAAGTTCTGCAAAGGGCAGGAATTTGGACTGGTTTTAGTGGTAATGATGCCTTAGCATCTAGGCTTTTATATATTTTTATATATTTTTTATATATTAATGCAAAGGGCGGGAATTTGGATTGGTTTTGGTGGTAATGATGCCTTATGATCTAAACTTTTATATTTTTCATATATTTTTATGTATTCCTTCAAAGGGCGGGAATTTGGATTGGTTTTAGTGATAATGATTTCTTAGCATCTAAGCTTTTATATATTTTCATATATTTTTTATATATTCCTGCAAAGGGTGGGAATTTGGATTTGTTTTAGTGGTAATGATGCCTTAGGATCTAAACTTTTATATTTTCCGTATATTTTTATGTATTCCTGCAAAGGGCAGGAATTTGGATTGGTTTTAGTGGTAATGATGCCTTAGGATTTAAGTGTCTATGTTTTTCATGTATTTGTAATCCTGTAGTTCTTTAGTGTGTAACTCTAAAGTCCACATACATTGTTAGCTACTGCTTTCCCATATTGGTTGGACAAAACAATTCCTCTCCAGGCCTGGGAATCAAGGACACCTCACCGTCTCAGGCCCTGAGAAATGCAAACAACAGTGAGTTGGGGGGGAGCAAGATTGGGGTAAATTACTTAATTACTTGAAGCTGTAATTGGATCAACTCCTGATATGGACCAAACTTATAAAAGTATAAAAATCCACAGCCTGTTCTCCATTTTTTGGGGTGTAGCCCCTGGATGGACTTCATCTGCCCAAAATGCACCTGAAGGCCCTCCAAAAAAGAGAACTGCTTTTTATCCTCTTAATTTTGTCTGGCTTCTGTTTTTAGGCAGCCCAAAAAACCATCAGTTTGACATCAGTTTAATAAGAGGTGGAGGAGAGCTAACTGTTCTATCTGTCCCCAAAAAACACCTTCATTGCACAGCAACACGTGCATGATCCAGAGCAGGAATGTGGCTGGGCAGGGCGGGTTGGGAGCGGGTGAGCCTTCCCCAGCTGACTGTGAGATCATTTTTAGCCTCAGCCTCTCCCCTGGCCCGTTAAAGTCGCTATCTGAACATCTCTGCATGTGTTGGGCCTGACAACATCTGAACAAGGCAGAGGAATGGAAATGCCGTGGAACTCGCCTCGGGCCATAAGGGAAATGTGGAGCACGGCAGGGAATTGCTGGTCCCTAAGTCCAGCTCATCTGGACTTTCTCCAGTGGTTTAAATCCAGTTTTTAATCAGCTGCTGCAAACTGGGATTATTTCAGAGGAACTTTTTCAGACTGGTAAAGGCACTGGATGTAAAATTCTAATGTGCTGTCGGAAATACTGGGTGGCTCAGTCCTTATCCACAGGGATGATGAGTAATGGTTAATTGTACCATGAGAAAAGAGAATTCATGAAGCCTTAGAATAATGGAATGGTTTGATTTGGAAGTAACCTTCATGATCAACTTGTGGGCAAAGACAACTTCTGCTAGACCAGATTGCTCCAAGCCCCATCCAACCCATCCTGGAACACCTGAGTTTTTTTAAGACCCATCCTCAATTTCAGGCCTTTTCAGAAGTGTGGAGAGGACAGAATTGATAAAACTGTTCAAGAAGCAACTTCCTTGGGCGAAATGCACCCAGCCTTGTTTTTCAGATGAATATTGTGCTTGTGTGTCCTGCAGCAGCTCTCAGGATGATTTAACAGCACCCAAAATGTAAATTATCACAGATTTCTGCTCTAACAGAGCGTGCTGGTGACAGAGAGTGCAGGCAGAGCAGAGAGACCTGACCCAGAGTCCTGTTGAGATTTGTGACGGGTTTAAAGCAGGAGGGGGAACCAATCTTTCTGCCAAGGTGCAGTCCCAGCCCGTTGGCTGTTCTTCTCAGGAGAACTTCCCTTTCTCTTCCTGGTCCTTCCCTGGCCTAACCCAGGTTCTGATCCGCAGCTGAGTCATTTATCTGCCCCAGTTTGCCACTTCCTTGCCCTTCCCAGAAATCAGAGGGTTGTTTTTGAGGCTGCTCTGTTGGTGACCTGGATGGACAGTGAAATTTGGGGCTATTACAGGCACTGTGCCAGGTGCCATCAACTCCACAGGGGGCTCCTGCCCTGTTCTTTCCTGGTTTTGTCCCAGTCTCGGCCTCTCCCAGCTGCACCTTCTCTAAATTATCTCATCACCACATCATGGAATCCCAGAACACTTTGGGCTGGAACACCCCCACCATGGACAGGGACACCTTCCTGTAGACCAGATTGCTCCAAGCCCCATCCAACCTGGCCTGGAACACTTCCAGGGATGGGGCTGCCACAGCTTCTCTGGGTAAACCTGTTCCAGGGCCTCAGCACCCTCCCAGGGAATAATTCCTTCCCAATATCCCAACTAACCCTGTTCTCTGGCAGTGGGAAGCCATTCCCTGTGTCCTCTCCGTCCATCCCTTGTCCAAAGTCCCTCTCCAGCTCTCCCAGAGCTCCTTTAGGCACTGAAAGCTCTCCCCAGAGCCTTTCCTTCTTCAGGCTGAACAACCCCAGCTCTCTCTGCCTCTCCTTACTGGGGAGGTGCTCCATGCCATCCTACCCGTGCAATTGCAGGTACATCCACAGGGAGGATTTATCTCCAGGTAAATCCAGATGAGAATCACTCAGTGGTCAATTCTGGACTCCTTTGGGGCAGAAACTGGGAGAAGAAATCATCTCTTGATCCTCTGAGTGATAAGGCACTGGGTCTCAACCACCAGAGTTTGGGAAAGCCATCTCTTGGCTCTGGGAAGAAATGCCTTAATTCCATGCTTGGAGAGGTAAACGGCATTGACATGGGACCAAAATGTTAAACTAGAGCTGAACAGCCCCCATTTATGCTCCCGTCTTACTTTTGTGGCTGAATTTCCAAAATTCCCACCCCTGGAAGTGTTCAAGGCCAGGTTGGATGGGGATCTGAGCAACCTGGTGTAGTGGAAGTGCCCTGCCCATGGCAGGGCAGTGGAACAGGATGATTTTCAAAGTCCCTTCCAACCCAAACCATTCCATGAATTTCGGAATGTGTTTGACCACTCCAGAAGCTGGAAGAGGCTGTTTCACCCAACTTCCCTGAGGACTGCAATGGCTCTGGTGCCACCACGCCTTGGCCACTTAGATTCCCAGTCTCCAGAAAAGAGCACTGCAGCCACATTTCTTGTTGGAAATGGCCTCTGGATGTGGACGTGCCCAGGAATTGTTTCAGAAAGTGCACGCAGGGCATTAAGGTGCCAGGGACATCCTTGCAGCACAAGGAAAGGATTCCCTGGCACGGAGAGCTCATGGAGTTGGTCACCAATGCAGAAAACAGCCAGACTGGAAGACCTGGAGGTGGATGAGCCTCTTTTCAGGGATATGACTCAGGAGGTTTGGAAAAGCCAGAATAAATCACTCGTCCTAAATCCTCCCTTCACAAATAACCAGACTGGATTCCTATAAACAAGGTGGCTCATTCTTGATTTCCTCCGGGGAAATCCCTCCCCATCTTCCTGCAATTAGCAGCTTCCTTACAATTAGCCTTGCATCCTGAGGATTTGCACGCTTTTCACAACAGCTGACATGTCATCATCTCCTGACATCCTTTTGACTTCATCCCAAATGGGATTTTGACCCATGGCTATGGATCCTCCAGGTGATCCATCCCCACCAGGGCAATGATTCCCTGTTATTTCAGCCTGTGGATCTCCACATCCTTGGCAGCTCCAGTAGGTTTTAAGGTGGAAGAGAGGAATTTGGGGTCCTTGGCCAATCTCCCTCCTCTTTTAGTCCTCCACCCACTGCTGTCCTGACTCCACACCTCCTTAAATCCTGCTCTCCCACTCAGGGCTGTCCCAGATTCACTCTCCATGTTTTCCTCATTGTTTTTTTTACCAAATCTCTTTATGTGGGTGTAGCTTGGAAAACTCACCTGAGATTTTCTCTCAGGCCTCTTCATACAGAGCTTTTCCTGCTGCCTTTGGTCTCCCAATGCAAGGTGGAAACAGCCAAGTTTATATCCATAAAATAAATCAGCTGGAGAAGGCATGGAATAACTTTGAATCTATAGCCTCAGAGAGGGGCTGTTAGAGAGAGAGATGTTAAAGAGTCTGCCTTGTATGCAGACACCTCATTGTTGCTCAGTCTCAAACCATTGGCCTTGGAACACTGATCCAGCCCATCCAGATCCCTCTGCAAAGCCTTCCTGCCCTCCAGGAGATCAACATCCCACCCGACTTGGTGCCATCCATGAACTTCCAGAGGGTGTCTTGACCTCCTCATCCAGATTATCAATAAAGATGTTGGACTGACCCCAGTACCGATACCAGGGGGACACCACTGGTGACCAACCACCAGCTGGATGTGGCACCATTCCCCACCACTCTGGGCCTGGAATCCAGCCAGTTTTTAACCCAGCCAAGAGTGCACATTCCCAAACCCTGGGCTGCCAGTTTTCCTGAAGAATGCCATGGGAAGCAGCATCACAGACTTCCCAGAACTCCAGAGAGATACATCTGCAGCCTTTCCCTCATCCTCTGAGGAGGTTACCTGGTCATAAAAGGGACTTTAGGTCACATTGCACAGCAATGACCTGGGCTGGACATAAAACACCCACCTGCAGCTCTGCTGTGGGCAGGAATAGATGACTGAGTGATAGACACAGTTGGTGGAGAAATAACTTTATTTTAGGTGTTTTGCAGATAACATGAACACACATTCCCTTATCTGGTAGCACTGGAGCTTTGCAGTGAGATTAAAGCAGAAGCCATCATATGGCAAAGAGCTGCCATCAGCTCCCAGGGTGCTGGGTGCCCAACACACCCCACTGCTCCTGGTTACAATGCCTGCTATTAGAGGGGTGCTCCAAGACTTTCTGTGGTCATGGGAGGCATCTTTGCTCCTCAGAATTTGTTGTTGAGGACGGTCCAGAGCACTCCGGCCGCTATCCCTCCGGCCAGCCCGTAGCTGGACCTCACATTGCCCGCGGCGTTGACGTTGCACAAGTCACTGCTGCAGCAGGAGATGTTCCTGTTGCCCACGTTGAAGTCCTGGTAAGTTGGGTCACACGAGGAGTCACATCCCTTGCTGATGACGCTGAAGAGCCCCACAACCCCTGGGAGGAAAGCAGGACCATTATTACAAGGATTCAGAAGAAGCCAAGCCTTTGTGGAACTGAATAATGGGGATGCTTGTTAGGTGGGACAAAAATCGGAATCACAGAATGGTTTGGGTTGGAAGGGACGTTCAAGATCATCTCATGGGCAGGGACACCTTCCACTAGGCCAATCTTCTCCAAGCCCTGTCCAGCCTAGCCTTGGACAATTCCAGGATGGAGCAGCCACAGCTTCTTTGGGCCTCACCACCCTCAAAGCAAGGAATTTATTCTTATTTTCCCATCTAAGCCTGCCCTCTCTCATGTGAAGCCCAATCCCAAACACCTTTGTTGCACGGAGCCTTTCAACACCTGGGAAATTATGGAAAAATTGCTGTTCCCTTTTCAGATGGGACAATTGTTGTTTGATTTGTTTCTGAGAGGCACAGCCCATCGTTTTGGCCATTTTTAGCAACTGCTTGTTGCCAGCAGATTTTGTCCTCCAGGAGATCTAAAATCCATTCTGGGCACCAAATCTTTGCCACGTGCAATAAACAACAAAGAGTTCTACAACATCTTGGCTCTCCTGCATGTGAATGTCATGGATTTGCACATTCCCAACCGAGATAATTCCTACTGGAGTTATCCCATCTACTGCCTGACAGAGAGGAGCTTAAATGTGGCACTGAGGGGTTTTGTGCCCCAGGGCTAAGAGCAACTCGGCTGTTGGCACAGGTCTGGACAGGGCAAAGCAGATTTAGAACAGGAGAATAAAATCCTATTTTTTCAAATTTTCCCACAGACACAGAGATGAAATTTTGTCATTTTCATTGATTTCACCTCAAATCAGCGACTCCTAACTTAACAACCAAGCTGGACCAGGCTCAGCCCCTCCCATTCTAATTAATGTTTGCAAATAGTGCAACAAATTAACTATTTCCCTTGAAAGCAAATAATCTTTTGGTGCTGTGGAAGAGAAATAAATCTAATTTTGCACTGGTGAAAGACATTTGCACACTGAGGTTTGCTGGCCCAAACAACCTGGTGTATCCAAACTGGGTGAGCCTGGATGGGACACCTGAGGCTGGGAAAAGTTTTGGCTCCAGCATCCCAACTAAGACATTTCCCACCCCTGCTTTTCCTTACGGATCACGTCTGTCTTGCACATTTGGTTAGCGCCACATGTCATCTCTGTCTGGCACTTGGTGTTGCTGAGCTCGGACTTGCAGCTGTAACACCTCAAAGATGAACCTGCAAGAGAGAAAGCAGGGAATAATGGAATGGTTTGGGTTGGAAGGGACTTTAAAATCATCAAGTTCCACCACTTTGCCGTGGGAAGGGACAACCTCCAGATGACCAAGTTGCTCCGAGCCCCATCCAACCTGGACTTGGATACTTCCAGGGATGCAGCAGCCACATCTTCACTGTGCAGCCTGATCTATTTTTTTACCACACTCATTATAAAAAAATGTCTTAATTATAGCTAACCTAAATCCACCCTCTTTTAGTTTTAAAAAATTGCCTTTCATCCTATCCCAACAGGACCTCCTAAAAATTTATCGCCAACTCTCCCGGAGCCTCTTTAGGCACTGAAAGGGGCTCTCAGTGTTTTCTGTTTTCCAGGGTGAGCACCCCCAGCTCTCCCAGCCTCAGAGGAGAGAGGCTCCAGCCCTCGGGAGCATGGAGACCCCCATGGAGACCTCCATGGTCTCCTCTGGACTTGCTCCAGCAGCTCCACATCCTTCTGATGCTGGACCCCAGAACTGGACCCAGCCCTGCAGGTGGGGAGCAATTCTAC